CTATGGAATCGAAAGCTAGACTTTTGAGTCGAAATCAAAGGATATAGATGTGAGTATCGAAAGTCAATCTTGGAATCGAAAGTTGATGTTATTAGTTATAATTTGGGCTGGGATCGAAACATGGTAATGTCTCACTTTCGACTGTGAAGTAGAAAATTGGTTGTCAAGGAATGGAAATCGAAAGTTGTTGATTTGGTTCGAATGTTACAAAACTGAATTCATGGAGTCAAAAGTGGTTTCAAATATTGTGATGTGTTCATTCGCTCCTAAGTTGCATCTGGAGGTAATATTGGGGAAGAAGACACATAATTTTCACATATGGTCCCTAATGTTTTGAATTTTGTCACTTTTTACCCAGAAAGCAGAAATCTTTCATTTTTGAAGATTTATTTTGGGATTTTCAAGAAGTGGTCATTTTTGTAGGTAATTTTCAGCAATATCAACTATTTTGTTAATTTTCCAGTCAAAGATGGTCCGGGAAGTGAAGAATTTGAAAATTTGTGATTTTTTTTTGGATTTTCTCGGATTTGTGCAAAACGTTTATGCTACATGCCAAGGTGGAGTTTTGCATGGAAAAATCCAAATTGAGCACTTTGTCATTCCCTTTTGGGTTTTATAATCATATTTTAATTATAAAAAGGGGGAGATATTTGAATATGAGAATTCGAAAGTTTTGAATTTTTTCATATTAGGCGCATTTAAAGACCGATGTGACCTTGAAAAAGAAAAGTTTATGAAGTGGTTTAAGATTTTATTTTCCGAAGTCGGATTCTTTGATGGTTTTGGATTTCATGCTTATTATTGGGATGTGTTTTATGCTCGAGGATGTGTATCCCTTGGAGTTTTGAATACTCATGGAGTCGAGCCACTTGGAGCTTTCGATTGTCATGTCACACATTCTAGAACCCGAATTGGAAAAACATTGAAGACTTGAAGATTTGATGCTCATGTCTACATTTGTCACGCTTGAGGATTCGTTCGTGAAGGTTCTCTTTTTGGAGATTGAATCCGATTCATCCATTCCTAACTTTGAGGGGGAGAATGTTGGGTACAATGTTCTCCCTTACATGACTAGTGAAGGCTTGGATTGAGACCACCTACTTGCACATGTAGGATTGGAGCGTTGTGACATGTAAGAGAGAGAGAGAGAGAGAGAGAGAGAGAGAGAATGTACTTAAGAGATGTAACATTGAGAGTGTTAGTGTGTGTTAGTTATGTAGATTTAGATCAAGATCCCTTTTTGTAACACCTTTCATAATTAAATACATCTCTTAGACACCCAAATCACCATGTTCATTGTGTTCTTTACAATTCCACATGTAAAATAAAATGCTCATAACACTACATACAAGATGCCTAAATTGTTTTTATGTGCTAAATAATCTATATAATAACATGCCTTAGGTTGTCTATCTAGATTACTTCAAGGTCTGTTGCCGACCTAGAATTAAGAAATTTTAAGTCTTTAGGTTTCTTAACGTTTAATTACAGTATTAGGACTAACATATAACGTTTTGTAGTAATAAGGATGATTACGCGTCTAAACCTTCCCTATGTATATTCTCGTCTCGGTACATTGCACGCCTGTTCATTGTACAAAACATCATTGTGAGGACATGTAGTGTATTAGGGAATGATAATGAAAACCATCAGGATGAGCTCGATGTGATCTAGCGTGCACCTAAAGCAGTGACTATAGTTGAGCCTGTTACAATGACAATGCTTAGGTTTTTTAGCAAAACAGAGGGAAGAAATGAGACAGTTCATTCAAGAAATTGGAAAAGAGCCTAATGTTCCCTGTCATACGGACAGAGCTCAATGAGGAGAAATCTGAGAAGGAAATTGCAGTATGACAGTCAGTCGTTTGGATTTGCCATGTATGACCCTGAGGTAGGGATTAAAGGGGAGGGATGTGTGTACAAGAACTTTATAACTGCCAAACCACCGAGTCTTTCCGGAAGCCCAAATCCAGTAGAGATTATGGACTAGATATCTAAGATGGAGATGGTATTTTAGAGCTGCAACTGTAGTAACAAGGAGATGACTGTCCTTGGAGTTCGACAACTAAAGACACTATAACAATTGGCAAAAATACCAACGATTGTACGATGCCACATATTGATTCTAAGAAATATGAATAGTTTATAAAAAATGGTTAAAGGAATCTAACGTGTTTTATTTATAAAAATTTTTCGAAAATAAAACTACTGACTCATGATAAATTATTTTACGACGTATTATTCCGAACTAAAATTGGTTCATGAAAACTATCTCTAACTTACTTGATCTTCGAGATTGCAAGTGGGTATATGTAAATTGAATCTCAAACATCTCTTTCTATCTTGCAAGATTTGAAGGGACCTTCCACCCTCCTTCCTCTCTAGATAGATAATATCAAATCTATAGGAAATCTTATCAAATATATTGCATAAGATTTGTTCCTTTCCTACTTCTCTTTCTTCCTATAAATTTCAAACTCACTTCCTTCACTTCTTCCCTTTCATTTTTCCAGAAAAAACTCTCAAATAATTGCACTAAAACATCTTCCCTTTGCAGCCCCATTCACCTCTTCGAAACCCACCAAAAACCGAGAGAAAGAAAGGTGTTGATGCCCCTCTGTTTCTACCATCATTTCAGCCCCTTTATTCCTTCATTTGGTCGACATTCCAACCCAAAACACCTTTGAAAATGTGTTGATTCACTACACTAAAATGGGTTAACAAAATAGTAGCAAAACCACTTCTTTTCTTGCGTATTTGCTGTGATTTTCGAGTGTTATACAACCCACAAAAAGTTCCAATTTTGCTCTCATATTTCTGTTGGATAAGGTGTCTAAGTCCATAACAATATTTGAGATGCACTTGACCCGACCCGGCATGGTCCATTTGGGTTGCACTTCACCCGAACAATTTGTATGGATAATCTTTTGAGAATAGTATGGTTATGATTTATTAATATATTATAAGGTATAATAAATTAATATGAAATCATATTATTTAATTAGTATTGATCTTAAATTAATTGAGAATTAATTTAGTGATAAAAAAGGTGACTAATTAAATATGGGCTCCAGTTTTTATATAGTGTGGGCTAATGCTTATTTAATATGGGCTAGGCCTGCATAGGAGTCCATGGATGGTCCATGGAGCTTTTAACCCATGGATCCTTGGAAAGGAAGAGTCATGGGTATTAGGGTTTACATGGATGTAACCCTAATCCTCCACACTATATAAAGGAGTCTTTGGCACTTGATTTGGCACTAGTTGTGTGTGAACAAGAGTGGTGGCCGATTTCTAGTGTGACAACCCGAAATTTCTATTCTGAACAACAATTCACTTCAATAGAAGTCAGAACTGTTTCTATTAACTTTTGAGTTGTGTAGAGTCAGTTTGAGTTTTTTAAAGCTTAGTACTTCAGGAGATAACTGGAGAGAGGATGCCCTAGGGTTTATTGTGCAACAATAAAGTCCCAAAACTCCAAGAGTTTGGATTTTACGGCCTAAACATGGTGTTTACGGCCGTAAAGCCCAAGGGGTATAAAAGTGACACTTAGTCATTTTTAACACTTTTTCACCATTTCAAGAACTAGAACTCAAATCCTCTCAAGTATCATCCGATTTTCCTTCTTGATCTTCAACTTTGTAAGTGTTTCTTGCCCTAATTAGTTGATATCTTACTCAATCTAGTGATCTTACATGATTTCATCCATGAAATCATTCCATATGTGTAGATCTTCAAGCGTTCTTAGTTTCACCAAGAACACCAAGAACACACACTAGTGTTCTTGGACATTTAACACCCTTTCAAGCTTCCACATAGTAAGTACTCTTACCTTGGCTTGTTATAAGGCTTGTTACACTTCTTAATCAACTAGAAAACACAAAGAAACACAAGATCAAAGGTGTTTACGGTCCAACATGTTCTTGGACCGTAAACCCTAATGAATGGGCCATTGTGTGCCCTAGTCCCTTACCAAGCCTTGGATACTAGTCTAGGTCATATCCTTGATGTGCTTAGGACCCTAAACATCAAAAAGACCACGAACCATTAGGGTTTACGGCCGTAAACACATGGATAAATGGTCCACGGGCCGTAAACTCCATAAAGAGGTGAAATGATGCCACAATCACTTCCAAAGGCATAGACTTGAAGTAGGAATGCTTCTTATGACCTTATAAGCTTCAAAACACAAAATGGTAGAAGTACCATGAGTTTACGACCATAAACTCATGGGTTTACGACCGTAAACTCCAAGGGAGTTGGTCACAAAACCGTAAACTCATAAGAGTTTACCCTTGGTTCCGGGATCATTCCTTCTTCACTCACTCCCTTGAGTCGGACTCAATCACTCGGAGGATCATTCCTTCTTCACTCTCTTGCTATTACCCGCAGGGAGCGCAGCAACCAAGGTGCATATTATCATATAGAAAGAAGCGAAGCGTAGCGATTCGTACTACCGGAAAAGTTTCGCTAACCGGCAGGCAATAGAATCCGCCGATAGGCGCAAGCAAGCGTAGCGAATCACATAGATAAGGCCCTACCTGCCAGCGCGCGGATAGATAGGGGCGGGCGAAGCGCGAAGGGGATGGATGTCTGAGCAGTTGAAAGAGTCGGTCTTGAAAACCGAAGTATTGATAGGAATACCGGGGGTTCGAATCCCTCTCCATCCGCGAGGTCATAAGTTCTCTCTTGCGTTATCTATAGATAAGAACGAATCGGATCGACTCGACTGATATGATAGATGGAATGGTAGCTTGTTTTATGATTTAGTTAGGAATCTGTCTCCCTTTCATGATCTTCCGCCCTCCGGTTGGGGAAGGTTCGGAAAGCCCTCACTCCCCATTTTTCAAAAAGAAGCCCCGCTCAACAAGGGGCCCTCTCTGATAAGGAAGAAAACGAAAGAATCTCAATTTTACGACAAATCCGGTCCGATGGTTGTTCTCCACTAACCACAAGGATATAGGGACTCTATATTTCATCTTTGGTGCCATTGCTGGAGTGATGGGCACATGCTTCTCAGTACTGATTCGTATGGAATTAGCACGACCCGACGATCAAATTCTTGGTGGGAATCATCAACTTTATAATGTTTTAATAATGGCTCACGCTTTTTTAATGATATTTTTTATGGTTATGCCGGCGATGATAGGTGGATCTGGTAATTGGTCTGTTCCGATTCTGATAGGTGCGCCTGACATGGCATTTCCACGATTAAATAATATTTCATTCTGGTTGTTGCCACCAAGTCTCTTGCTCCTATTAAGCCCAGCCTTAGTAGAAGTGGGTAGTGGCACCGGGTGGACGGTCTATCCGCCCTTAAGTGGTATTACCAGCCATTCTGGAGGAGTAGTTGATTCAGCAATTTCTAGTCCTTATTTATCTGGTATTTCATCCATTTTAGGTTCTATCAATTTTATAACAACTATGTCCAACATGCGTGGACCTGGAATGACTATGCATAGATCACCCCAATTTGTGTGGTCCGTTCTAGTGACATCATTCCCACTTTTATTATCACTTCCGGTACTGGCAGGGGCAATTACCATGTTATTAACCGATCGAAACTTTAATACAACCTTTTCTGATCCCGCTGGAGGGGGAGACCCCCTATTATATCAGCATCTCTTTCGGTTCTTCGGTCATCCAGAGGTGTATATTCCCATTCTGCCTAGATCCGGTATCATAAGTCATATCGTTTCTACTTTTTCGGGAAAACCGGTCTTCGGGTATCTAGGCATGGTTTATGCCATGATCAGTATAGGTGTTCCTGGATCTCCTGTTTGGGCTCATCATATGTTTACTGTGGGCTTAGACGTTGATACCCGTGCCTACTTCACCGCAGCTACCATGATCATAGCTGTCCCCACTGGAATCAAAATCTTTAGTTGGATCGCTACCATGTGGGGGGGTTCGATACAATACAAAACACCCATGTTACTTGTTGTAGGGTCCATATTTTTGTTCACCATAGGGGGAGTCACTGGAATCATTCCGGCAAATTCTGGGCTAGACATTTCTCTACATGATACTTATTATGTGGTTGCACATTTCCATTATGTACTTTCTATGGGAGCCGTTTTTGCTTTATTGGTAGGATTTCACTATTGGGTAGGTAAAATCTTTGGTCGAACATATCCTGAAACTTTAGGTCAAATCCATTTTTGGATAACTTTTTTCGGGGTTAATCCGACCTTCTTTCCCATGCATTTCTTAGGGCTTTCGGGTATGCCACGTCGCATTCCAGATTATCCAGATGCTTAGGCTGGATGAAATGCCCTTAGCAGTTCTGGCTCTTATATATCTGTAGTTGGGATTTGTCGTTTCTTCGTGGTCGTAACAATCACTTCAAGCAGTGGAAACAACAAAAGATGCGCTCCAAGTCCTTGGGCTATTGAACAGAATCCAACCACACTGGAATGGATGGTACAAAGTCCTCCAGCTTTTCATACTTTTGGAGAACTTCCAGCTATCAAGGAGACGAAAAGCTCTGTGGAGTAAAAGAAAAAAAGGTCGCCGATTGCTACTAAGAACCTAATAGAACTTTTCAAAATTGAAAACGGATGAGTCGACGTGGTCTACGAATCTATTCTAAATATCAACGAATTGTTCAAATTTTAGGCGGGATGGGGATTGTAATTATTTAGACTTCTCGAGGTATAATGACAGACCGGGAGGCTAGATTCGAAGGAATCGACGGATCAATTTTGTGTTATATATGGTAATCCTTCTGCGAATTAGATCCTAAATTGACTATTTGTGAAAAAAAGAGAAAGGGCTGGTTGTATAATCTCACTCCTCCCCCATTAGTTGAGACTTCAAGGAGGTTTTCCCCGGAATGAAAGAAAAAAAAGAAACTGGTTCACGTAAGAATGGACGTCTTGGTTCACGCAAGAGTGCGCGTAAAATACCAAAAGGACTTATTCATGTTCAAGCAAGCTTCAACAATACCATTGTGACTGTTACAGATGTAAGGGGTTGGGTGCTTTATTGGGCCTCCGCCGTAACTTGTGGAAGAGGGGGTACAAGAAGAGGGACACCATTTGCTGCTCAAACTGCAGCGAGAAATGATGTACAGTAGTGGAGCAAGGTATGCAACGAGCGGAAGTTATGAAAAAGGGTCCAGGTCTCAGAATCCCATCTTCCAAGGTCAGGAGCCACGGGACCAGAAGACCGTTCGACGATCCTACTTCTGATGTCATCCCCTTCTGTTCCCTCCCTGTTGAATATCCCAACTATTCTATATCCAATTTCGGGATGGATCATGAAAGATTTTGTCTTGAAATGCCGATAAGGAATAGCCAGTTATAGAAGCGGGTGACAAGGAATGAAAGCACTCCTGTGCTATCAAAGTAGAGATATTAGTTAGAGCTAGGGACAGGCCATCTATTCCTGCTTAACTTTCTTCAAGATACGAAATGAGCAGCCGTTTTTCGTGACATCATATCACTATTCGGCAAGTCAATCCCGCTTACCGGCTCAATATATCTCTCAATAGATTCGCTTGCCACGACGACCGGACAGGATAGGAGATCGCCCAACCTTCCAATTTATCTTTCTAAAGCAACTATAAAGGATGGGCAGCTTCCCTACCCACTGGGGATTTTTTTCCCCGTTCCAACTTCGGATTCTTGGAAATCATCCCCGGTTCTATGATTTAAGGTTAGGAGTTTCATTCTTAGCAAGATCCCAAACTATTGAATCTGTTGTCGTCGGCGAGGCTACTTCTTCTTCTTTCGAAATGAGAAGAATAGCGTAGTCAAAGTAGGCCAAGTCGGTAGCCTTTTCTGAAACTCTTGGGAGAAGGGCTGTAGGATTAGAAAAAGGCCTAACTACTGTTGAAGGAATAGAGGTTGTTTCGGCTCTTGGAGTAAGGGGGGAAGGGCTGAGTGTCGGTGAAATGCTTTTCTAGACTTACCCCGCTCAATGGAAATTTATATAGGCAAGATCCCACGTCCAAGAGTCTGATTCTGATTCTGCTTTCACTCTTATCAAGGAAGGAGGCCATCAAACCAAAGGGGAGGTCTTTGCTTGCTTTTCTTGTTAGAGTTGCTAGTCTTTTTGTAATAACTGCTCTGAAGATGTTTTCAGGAATAAGAGAAGACGATGCTCTTTCATCAGCTCTTTGGCTATTTGCTTGCGATAAAGAAAGAGTGAATTGATCCGAGCCAAGTAGTTCGGCCAAGCCGGAAAGAAAGAGTTAGATCCTCTTTGAGATGAAATGCGGCAATGTCCTAATCAAACCAGGCGCAAGGTCAATGATTTTGCTCCAGGCTCAAAGCATAAAGGCTCTTATTCCTTATGCATTGGTCTCGGAGGGCCCTCACTCTAAAGGGTTGATGACAGCTATCCTGCTCTGTCTGAGATAATTGGAATGGAATTGGTGTGGTTCGCTAGCTCTTTCTTTTGAGACGAATGAATTCCGAATAAAGGAAGGCGGTCGTGATAGGGAAAGGCCTTTCCTTATTACCAGGAAAGATAAAATGGGCCAAATCGCCTGCTAGAGAAGAAGCTCTTAGGGAATCGATCTATACTAGATGAGATGTCGGTGCCATTAAACTAGCTGCCAGAATGAGTTCAAGAGATGAGGATCCAGGTAGTGAAGTCACCCTCGGGGGAAGAATCATTCCATTCACTTGTGAAACTGATAAGAAGAATAGCTTTTCTCTGAATCCACCACTCACTCTCTTTCGGGTAGGTTTAACAAGAAAGTAAAAGCAATCTCCTCAACCTAGAAAGAGAACTCCGAGATCTTCTTTTTCTTCTTAGGAACCCGAAGGCGAACTAATCCGTCTTGGTGCAGCTCCTAGTCCTGATCGATTGGCTACCGGGTGTTCACTCAAACTAAAAAGAAAAAAATGGAATATAGAATCCGGATCCTCATCTCCTTCCCGCTTTAGTTTCACTCTTATCTCGGTTGCTAACCGGTGTGGGAGATGAAGCCAAGTCCTTTCCCTTCAAGGATCTAACTGCCACTCTTTCTAGTTTCATTCAACTGCCACTAACCCATATCTTAAAACATCTCATTGGAGGTGGGATAGAGCTAATTCTGGGATCGAATGTCTCTCATTGTGGTCTTGATTTTAAGCTAGTACAATCAAGGATTCTGGTATGAATTTGGTAGTCATCTTGATCTCTTCTCTTGTCTGTTTTTTTTTAATAGGTCTTCTCCCTTCGATCCGCGAAGTAGGCAAGCAGGAATCTCTCCCCCTTTCTGTTCATGGATAGAAAGAATATCTCCTTAGGAGAGTATTTTATGAGTTGACTGTAACCCGGAGGCTTCTTTCAATCGATCTAGTAGGTAAGAAATAAGATCTTCGTATAGTTAATGAATTAAAGCGAAACCACTAGGTTAGATCTCGTCTGTGATCCCTGGGCTTGTTAATTGAGAGAGAAACCCCTACTATCGATCATGGCCTTCATTGAGTGCATTTTTTGCTCTTTGACATAGTAAGGCGGGAAGGCATGAGCAAGGCACTTACAAGGCCTTTCACAGCTCAAATCCATGCATTAAGCTACTAATCCCTTTTATAGCAATGTCCCAGCAGGCTAGCTGATCGGGAAATCTAAATTCTTTGACCGAACCTGGGGGGCACGATGAGTACATTGATTATCTGGGTCCGATCGTCGCTAGAGGCCCGGTGACTATAATACACTGTTCGAAATTGCTTCGTTTCTGCCGAAACAAAACGGGATTGGCTATCTTAACCCTTAGCAGTTTTGCGAGCAAACGTAGACGAATGCTTGAAAGACCAGCAAAGCCCTACTTATTAGGAGGGGACTCTTTGGCACCTTAGAGAAATTCCTTTACCTAGGGGATCAAGTGGTAGTTGATCAATGAACTAATATCTTTCGGTATAGGGCGAAGGTAAGGGCTTGGGCATGGCACGGGGGTTGTTAAGCTCACATCCATTGTAGACTTTGTAAGAAATGCTGGATTGTGCCCTCCAAGCAGAAGGTGTCCACAAGGC